CCGCGTCCCGGAGGACGGGGGCAGAGAAGGGGGCGCAACACCCCAACTGCCCCGGGCTCGCCCACCCACCAACGCCGGGTGCGGAGACTAAGCGCCACAGGACAGAGAGGTACCAAGGCCCTCTAAATCGGGTCCTGGCCTGATCTGGCCCGTGGTACTGCTCTGGCCAGTGTTGTAGGACGCAGTGCCTGGACTCAGGATGGTGCCAGCCCCCAGGGGGGTTAGCGGGGAGGCACTAGGGCTGGGTTACTACTCTCGAGGCTGAGTGCCCAGGAGGGGCAGGTGCCAGGCAGCACCCTTATAGCACCGTCTTTAAGGGCTCCCAGAGTCAGGAGGTTCACGTGTGACTTCAACAAGTCATTTCACCTTACTGAGACTCAATCTCCTCATCTGGAAAATGGGGAGGGAAGATACACCGACCATTCAGAGCTAGTTGTGAGGAACAAATTAAATGAGAAGATGCACGAGGCTGGCCACAGTGAATACAACAGACAGCGGCTTTTATCTTGGATTGGTAGTGATGATGACATTGAGTCCTCGGCACCCCTCCACCTCCACCCACAGCCAAAGGAGCTGTCCACCAGTGGGGAATACTGGAGTTGACTGGCCTTCCCCTCCCCTCACTTCCTCAGGGCCTCCCCAAAGCCCCACTTGGCAGATAAAGAAATTGAGGCCAGGAAGATTCTTACAAGGGGCTCAAAGTCAGGCGTCAGTGAAAAGAACAAGAGTCTAAGCCCAGATCCTGCCCCCAGACCCAGACTCGTCTTATGGAGATGGGTGGTCCCTGGGGTTAGACCCTGGGCATCGGGCCCCCCTCTTAATGTTCCGAAGATGGGTGCTGATACCAGGGCAGCTGGAAGGAATGAGTGGGTAATGGAGAGAGTCTCCACTTCTAGGCATCCAGGGGCATGGGCCAGAGAGCCAGAGGGTGGACACCAAGGAAAGACACAGTTTCTGGTCCCCTGGCCCCCCATAATGTAAGCTCCACGAGTATAGTGACTATGTATCTTGTTCACCACTATCTCTCCTACACCTAGAACAGGGATTGGTGCAAGAGCACGTTATCAATAAATATTTGTTGAGTGAATGAATGAGTAGGTCCCCTCTTATACAACTGTAGCCTCCCACTTGCCACCTGTTTGGGAAAAAGGTTTGAGAAGAGGTGTTCCTCTCCCCAACAAGGAGACCCAGGGCAGCGGAATGGTCGGAGAAACAGGCAGGAACTAAGAAAGAGCAAAGGAGGACATAGGAAAAATTTTCCAGAAGGCAAAGCTGAGATCAACTCTTTCTTCCTAGCCCTCTACTCCTGTCCATCCGAGCACTCACCCCATTCCCCCTCCCTCCAGCACCTCTTCACTGACCACCACGATTCCAGCTCTAACCCCATACTCACCCCCAGTCCACTTACCTCACAGGCTGAGTGCCCCTCTCCCATTTACCATCCTACAATGGCTTCTCGTGGTTCACAACCTAAAATGCCAGCTCCTCAGCCCAGAGCTTGAGGCTATACACACACTAGGCATCAGCTACACTCCACCCCTCCATACTTTGTACATTTCCATCTTGGTGACTTTTGTGCTCTCTCCTTTCCTTGGGATGTCCCCTCTTCCTCCCCAAGAATCCCTGATCTCCTTTGAGGGGAAGTGCTCCCCTAGCCCCTGGTAGGAATTCCTGGCCCCCTCTGGGCACCCCAGGATCCTCTTGCGATGAGGCGATTCCTGCCTCTGTCCACCCACCCAACCAGCTCATTAGGATCCATCCACTAAGGGCAAGGCCAGTTCTGAATCTCCTACATCCCCCAGGCTGGCCCAGCAGATGCTCAGACAGTATCTGGGAGGGAATGAGAAGACCCAGGTCACCAGGGCCTTGAGCATCAGTGAGTCAGGATTTTCCCACTGTCATCCGAAGTCTGAGAGTTCTGGGTAAAGGCATCTTGGGGTTGCTGCAGAGGTGGGTGGGTGGGTGTAGGGAGGGCCAACACAAGCCCACCCTGAACACTGAGGGGCTGGGAAAGAGTACAAATGGAGACCCACACACTATAAATCTAAATATTTAAAGTTTGAATCAAGCTAATAAGCTGTTAAATAAAGTGTGTTCAATTCCTCCTGACACATATATGTTCATAATGATCTGGAAGGCCAGGTTTAAATTTAAAATCTTGGACTCCACTGAGTTCTATGCTGGAATCTGGCAGGGAGGGGACAGCCAGCCCCTGCTACCCTCCAGTCCCCAGCCCATGATGCGCCCTCTTCTTTTCTCACAGTGGGTTCATCCCTCCCCGGAGGGACCTTGGGCACACTCCTGTGGCTGCCCAGCCTGCTTTCGGCTGCAAACGGCTGCCCTTGGACCTAGGAGTGCTCAGACAATGGTGGCCCTTGGGCTAGTGAACCAGGAAAGAAGCCTGTGCCAGCCCAGGAAGCAGGCACAGGGATTTGGCCAGGGAACTCTGAGGTCGCTTGGAATGTGTTCTAGAATAAGGAGGGCTGTGTACAGGCTCCAAGCTGATGGTATGCAGGGCTGAGTGGCCGGAATTCTGGGCCCCCCACCCTTGACTCCACCTAGAGCAGCCCTGTTTTAATGTATTTTATATACTGCACTCCTGTGTCACATTTCATTTAAAGAACAAGATCTACTGCCTGTAAGTTTGCAAAGCACTAATCTAGACCCTCCCCTCTACTGAACAGCAGGGAAGGTGTAGTACAGGGTACCAGGGATCACAGTCATGCAGGAGTTTAGAGCAAACCCAGGGCTCAATCCTAGGGCTCCCCCCTCCTGCCGAGGCCCTGGCCTCTGTGAGCACACTTCTGATCAGTGAGATCCAGTGCCTTCAGTGGACATGCCATTAGGAGGTGGTGAGTGCCCAGTCCCTGGTGGGGTTCGAACGGACCTGCTACTGGGGCCTCCTGCCTTGAAGGGGGCTGAACCCTCCACTCAAGACGCCCAGCTCAGGACTGAGAGGCCAGACCAGGCCCGAGAAGGAGAGGGAGTCCTGGTATAAATAACCATGGGGGGCCGAGATGTTTGGGCCCGTCTCCTGGGCGACGGCTGTGTTTACCGCCCAGTGAGGGGGGGCATGGCCCACACATTTGCCTCCCTGACTTGTAGCCAAATTTCTCCAGGAAGGGGTGGCCCATGATTAGCCCCTAAACACTCCAGTTCTGCACCCCAATCAGGTCCTTCCCCTAACTCTGCCCCAACATGGGCCCTAAACCTCCCTGACATTGCCCCATCCTTCAGCCCCAAATGCTTCATGGTACTGCATCTCCACCAGTCACAATGCCCCAGAATGTGCCCCCTTAAGTCCCAACTCTGCTCAAATCAAATCGGGGAAGAGGGGGTGGGGAAGCACGAGCAAGGCAAGGGAAGGCCCCAACCAGAGTAGCTGGGTGTGTGCCAGGGATCTGAACTCTGGCTGCTAGGCCCGGGGGCAGGGACAAACCTCTCCCACGACCCTGGCCAAGGCAGAGGAGGGCTACAGCCCTCGGATTAGAAAAGTGCAAATCCCTCTCCCCAGCCCAGTGCCCGCCCCATGCCTGTCATGTGCAGGGCATTACATGGCCAGATCCCATCGTGGGAGGGGCTGGCAGGTGCCTTGCTGGTCATGCCACAGCCAGTTCCTCTCACCAGCTGGTCAGGCTAAGAAAAAAACCTCAATGCTAGAGTATAAGTGGAAAGGTCCTCTTCCCTACGGGCAGCAGCTGCAGCTTGGCCCAAGCACAGAGGCACAGGAGTTGACGTGAGCTGAGTTCCAAGCCTGCAGGGCAGCCCAGCCTACCACACACACACACACACACACACTCTGCCCAATGGACTAATGGGTCTTACTTGGGACACCAGCTGCTTTTCACTAAAAGCAGAGGCTCAAAACAGGAGCTGTGTCAATCAGGAGTCCTGGATAGGTACCTGGACACCTGGCTCCAGCCCTGCATCAGTCAGTTCTCAGCTGAATGCCCTTGGGCAAGTCATTTCTCCTTTCTGAGCCTCCGTATAAAATCCTGCAATGATATCTTCCTCCAGCGTCATCATGAGACTTTGATAGGATTCACTGAGTAAAAACACCAATTAAGCCCCTCAATAGTCCAGGACTGTCTTGAAGTGCTTTGTGGATCATCAGGTAGGGGAGGTGATGTTCTTCCCAATACGAGGGAGCATTTCGGACCCAGAAGCTAAGGCTCAGGGATGTGAAAAGACCTGCCCAAGACCACACCATGGGGACCTGAGCCCTGGCCAGCTCTGCAAAGAGGTTTTCACTGTTTTCACTGTTACTTCTTGTTGTCAGGGACAACTGGGCTCTGCCACTGACTTGTTCTGGGTCTCAGTTTCCCCATCAGTAGACTGAGGGGGCTGGGTGAGATCAGTGATTTCCACACCCTATTGCAAGGGGATTTGGCAGGCTGGGCCTCCTGGGCTCTGCCCCTTTCCCCAGGGCACCCTACCGCCAGCTGGGCCAAACCCGGGTGCTCTCATGTGGACATCCCCAAGACCCCAGATCCCCTCTACAGGTATCCCCAGGGCCTGCACCCACCCCCTCTGCTTCCAAGGCTTCATCCACACACACCTTCCCCCACGCAGGCTTTGCATAAGCAGCTGAACTTTCCATACAGGCAAAATCCTAGGGCTTCAGGCCAGGTTCAGCCAGGCTCCGGCAGGGCTAGTGGGCAAATCCAGAGATGCCAGCTCTGGGGACTGGGCTATGAGGGGAAGGCAGAGGGAAAGAGAGGCCAAAAGTGGATGGCATCCTCAGGGCTCCCTGTTGGAGTCTTCCCTCCACCATCCTCCTTGCCAGATCCAGAGAAGTCTTTCTAAAATACCAATCTGCCTGTGGCACTCCCATCCTCAGTTCCTTCCTGAACTCAGCCTGGAGTCACTGCTTCTCAGCCTGGAGTTCTCAGCCTGCCCTTGCACATATCCAAGCCCATTCTTTGCACACCTCCTGCCCCTCTAGGCTCCCACTCTCCTGTCCTCTTTCTGTTCTTTGCAAATGTCCCGTTCAGCCTCACCTCTGGGCTTTGCCCATGCTAGTCCCTCTGCCTGGAATGCTGTTCCCTCCTCCTCTTTACCTGCTTGACTCCAACTACTACTCACGTTTCAGGTCTCAATTGAAACCTCTTCCTCTGGGAAGGCTTCCAGCCATGGCCAGTTTGGGGCTTGGCTCGGGCCCTCTGTGCAGGCCCCCACAGGACTCTGTGCTGCCCAGGCAACCGCCAGCCTCCAGGTGCATCTCCCCCGGGGAGCAGGGGAGGGTCTCATTCACTGCTCTGTCCCCAGCACCTGGGCTAGGGCCTGGCCACAAGGGACTGCCCATCGAGGCTTCCCAAATCAGAGAGCAAGAAGAAAGGAATGAGTTCCCAGTGTAGAACTATGGTGGCAACAGGACCTGAACTTTAAGGCTCAACTGGCCCTCACATCAGCTTCCTAGCAGGCAGGCCCATCGGGCCAGTTAGGTGTAATATGGCAGGAAAGGTGGCAGCCTTCAGAGCTGGACTTCTGGGGCTTGAATCTTGGGCCCACTACCTACACCCAGGCAAATTCCTCAACCTCTCTGTGCCTCAGCGTCCTCATCTGAAAAATGGGCATAACAATAGTATCCGCCTTATCTGGTCATTGATAGATAAAAGGAATGTCAAGTCCTCAGAGCAGCGTCCGGCACACGGCAGGCACCCCAGAGCGTCGGCTGTTATTTTGATTATTATTGAGAGCCACAGCAATGGAGGGAGGCTGAACCTCGGAGAGGGAGGTGACTGCCCAAAGCCACCCAGCAGGTAACTGTCTCTTGCTTTCCCACTCCAGCTTACACCCCTACAGAGATTACGGGTGTCCCCACCCCAGCCTGCCCACTGTGGCCCTACAGTCTTGCTCCCATGCTCTCACAGCACAGAGGCCTTGCACACTCAGGCTTAAATTCCACCCTCCCGGACAGTCGCCTTTCGTGGCTGTGTGACAGGGCACATGCTGACCATTTAAGCTTCAGTGTCCTCTTCTGTATGTTGGGGTAATTTAGGGCCTACCTCCTAGGGCTGTTAGAAGGATCACATAAATTAGTATGTGGAAAACATCTGGTACAAAACCCCATATAGACTAGACTATGAAACTCATTACTATGTGAAAACCATCAGAACTCTGAGCCCGGCCCCCAGTAAGGTTGTCAGAGAGGCCCCTAGGCCTCCAGCCGCTGTGCAGGGGCTCCTGGGGAAAGGAATTGCCAGGCTGGCCCGTACGCTCCTGCAGGGTCTATATACTGCCCACCCTCCCCTGCAATGCCCCTTCCTCGGTGGGTGCTGAAACCAGTACAGGCCAGGATGAAATGAGGGGCCAAGAAGCCAAGAGAAAAGGGAGCTGCGCTGGGGAGTAAGAATAGGGACAGCACAACAGGCCCTCTGTTCTTCACAGCACTTTGTAGTTTATGAAGCACTTGATGCAGGGGGCAGCCCTTTGAGGTGGGCAGGTAGAAATGATAATTGTCAGTCTACACAGATGGCAGCCGGAGTCTCAGAGAGGTTGAGTCACCTGCCTGGGGTCACACAGCCTTTAAGAAACAGAGGAGGAAGCCCAGCCCTCTGTCCGCTGATTCCTGGTCCAGGGCTCTTTTAACTGAGGGGTAAGCCCTGATTCTGGCTGACCTATCCCTCTTCCTAGTCCAGTCTTGGCAAGGGCCCTGAGCCAGTCCTCACTGCCCTTAGGGGCATGGGAGGAACAGACAGGGGAGACTGATGGCTCCTCCATCCCCCTAATCCTTCCATCTCCACCCAGCCTCCTCCTACTTCTGGCCCCAGAACTCAGGAGGGAGGAGGCAGGATGGCGCCCCGATTCAGGGATTTCACGCACCAGTAAAATTTTCAAAAACAATTTAGGGACTGAATAAGGTCGTCAACTTTTTATTTTGCCAAGTAAGGACATTTTTTAAAAAATCCCCAGCCCCATTATTTCATAAAAGAAAGGACGTAATCTCAGACTAAAAGACAGCCCTTTAAATAGAATAAATTTAGCTTTATGAAAGTCACCACGTTGCCCTTATTTCTCAGTTTGCCTTAGGCCATTGAAAAAAAGCCCAGGTCTGCTGACGCAGGTGAGAACCATTTGGAGCTCCGGCCTGGGAATCACGCAGACATGAGTTCGAATCCTGGCTCCACCATGGACAAGCTGTGTCATTTGGTGCACCTTATTTCCCCTTCCTGAGCCTCAGTTTCCTATCTGCAAAATGGGGACAATAATAGAGCTGCCACATAGCAGTACCTGGAGCACGACATGGTCTAGTGTGCGCAGAGCACTGGCTTGTGAGAAGAGATCAATCAAGCCCAGGCTCCCAGCTAGTGGTGCTGCCCTGTCCTGCCGCTGCCTATGGCCTTCAGGGTAAAGCCCACATCTGTAGCCTGACCCTCAGGCCCCTGAACACACCAGACTCTGCAGATCCTGGGGCAAAGGGGGCGGAGGAACAGAGTCCTACCTCAAAGCCTTTGCTCTAGCTGTTGCCTCCATGTGGAGCGTGCTCAGGACAAACATCACAAGAGTTTCTAGCTCCCAACCTGCACACAGAGGACCTAGGGGTCCTTTCTCCACTTCCCTCTAGTCGGCAGAACCCTTATCATCCTTACAACCAGCCTCAATGTTGCCTTCATTCCCTGGCTCAGCAAACATTCAACAATTACCAACCAAGCACTCTGCTCAACCCCCACCACCCAGAAAAGCAAAGGACACGCAGGGGTCGGTGAGTAGAGATCTGGGGCTCTGAAAGGTCGGCAATCAAACTCCAGGTAGGGTGGGCAGGGAGTGATTCCAAAAAGAGGTGGTGCTTAAACTGGGATTTGAAGGATGAATAGGAGTTCGCTAGATGATGGAGTGGGTGGGAGAGGGGAGGGAGTTTGAGGCAGAAGGTAAAGCTCAGGGATGAAACTGCAAAGGCAGAGGCTGTCATCACAGAGGTGACCCCCCAAAGTCATAGAAGTATGTGAGATGCCCCCTCACCCGCACCCACACGGAAACTGTGCATGGAGAGAAGGACCCAGAACAGAGCCCCCAGGAGCCCCAACATTCAAGGGGCAGAAGAAGGAGGCAGAGCTGCTGACAGAACCTGGGAACCGAGGGAAAAACCAGGGAGGCAGGTTGAGGAGAGTCAAGAAATGGCAGGGAGGGGCTCCACAGGAGGCAACATGACCATAGCCCAGGAGCCACATTCTGGGTTCAAATCCTGTCTCTACAACTTATTAGCCATGTTGACCTTGGGCCTTAATTTCCTTATCTGTAAAATAGGGTTAATTTATCTTTTAACAAAAAGGAAGACAAAGGGCATGAGGGGAGGGGCTGACACCCTGGCTCGGCCTTCATTGCATCCCCAGACTGGGCCTCCATGGGTCACATGTTCCTCCCCCATTGTGTGTCCCACCAGACTGCAATCAGTGCCTAGAGGCCCAAAGATTAGGTGAGTGAGTGAATCAGGGGCTGCTCCCTTCCCTCAGTGTGCAGGACGGAATTGGGAGGCAGCCGTCTGTGGTTCTCAGCAACAACGCCCATCTATTGCGGAGGGGAGGTGAAGGCCCCACCCCATGTGCTGTGTCCTTCCTCCTGGCCTCAGTGTCCCATCTGTGAAATGAAGCCTGGATCCACTTGAGCTCAGAGACCCTTCTCCCTCTGATGCTCGGTGGCAGGATGAATGGAGGAAGGGAGAGGGAAGGAAGGCCTATTCTGGACCTGCTGTCCTGCCCCAGGGGAGGAGGTCCCACAGGGGTCTAGGTCCCCACTGTCCCCAGGGACTGGTCCCTCCAGAAGAGGGTGGCAGCCAGGCCAAGGAGGGCAGGAGCAGAGGCTCTGGGATTGTGCTGACAGGGCTGTTCCTCCTCCCCTCCTTCTCTCCCTACCCCTCCCCTCCCAGGGGACAGCCGAGCCCAGCAAAAAATAAACCCAAAGACAGTGACCTGGACGGGCCTGAGGCTCCCAGGGAGGAGCGGCAGGGAAGGAAGGATGGAGGAGAGGCACCCTATGCCACCCCCAACAAAGGCCAAAGGGTGCCTGATTTGATCCCCTTGCAACACACGCACAGATGGGCTCCAAGGGAGCGGCTCCATCCACTCTCCTTCCATCACACCGGGAGGGACGGGTGCCACCTGCTTGATAGGAACAATGAGCAGAGTAAATCTCATCTAGCCCCGGGTAGATGACTCCCCAAGTTTGGAAAAGAGCGCCCCAGGGAATCTCACTCCCTCCTGATTTGGGGTCATCAGTCCTTCCTGCTGTCTGACCTCTATCTCTTCTGCTTCTGTGGGTCCATTTATCCCCAGCAAGCTGCTTTCCCCTTGCCCCACCTGCCTGGCCTAGATGTCCGAGGAGTCTCAGGAGAGAAGGTTCCCCACAGGGATTGCGGAGGGCCCCTGGGCCAGAGACCCTGCTCCACCCACTGTTCCCCCAATCTCCAGAAGGAAGGACTCGCTGAGTTCCCTGCTCCCTTGCATCCCTCCCTCAGGTGCTGCCCACTGATTCTCAGCCCAATTAGTCTGCTGCCTGGGGCTGCCCCTCCCATTCTCACCCCCCAGGTGCCAACCCCCAGGGCACGTAGATCCTGCCCTAGGGACAAGTTGCACAAAAAGCCTGGACTCCTGGAGATACATTTATGGGGGCCCCAGAGATCTGACCAGCACCCTCTCCCCGGCCCCTCAGAGCCCTAGCTGGGGGCAGGCAGCCTTCTGGTGCCCTTCTAAGTGCTTCTGGGTCCTCTAAGGAAGAACTCCCACCACCCTGCACCCCACCCCCACCCCCACAAAACTCAAAGTCTGGGACAATGGATTCTCCATTCACCCAGAGTCCCTCTGTGCCTGGTAGCCCTTAATGGTCCACTTTCCTGTTTAGCCCCATTTTACAGAGGGGAATAGTGAGGCTCAGGGACTGGGGTGGAGTGGGTGTGGGCACCTGCCCAGTAAGTTTTGGGACTAAGACCCCTACATCTCCTTTGGAATTCTCTGTTCCCATCCCCAGGACAAAATGCTCAGGCTCACCCTCCCCTCGCAGGGGTCCCAAGCTGCACCCTGA